AGACATTTTGGAAAGGAGTGAATAAAACGGAAATTGTTTTGTGTCAGCTTGCTGTTTTCAAGGCTTCTGATTTCCCATCTAGCCCTACACTGAATAATTAGATCCTTGTGAATTTGTTTTCCTTGGTGTGCATTTGGTCCACATTTATTTTTTTCCTGTGGCTTTGGCTCCCTGAGGCATTCCTTCCATCATCCCTCAAGGGCCTGTTTAGTACCCATAAATCCCATTTGTGCTTTTCATTCACAAAGAAAAAGCATCCCGCTGAAGTTTAAGAGATCAGATGTTCTGGAAGTACTGAACTGTATGAATCCCATCAGGAAAAGATCAAGACATATCCAGCTTCCAGACGAACCCAGAACTTTCTAGAACACTCTTCCCTCCACTTAACAGAAATTAGAAAACTATTTTTTTTTTTTGAAGAAAATTAACAGTAGTTGACTTTCCCCAGGAACAGTGTTTTGATTCTTTTTTGCTGGCAACTACCAAGTTTTCTCTAAGAAAGCAGGAAGAAAGACTGCTGAATGCTCAGAGGCAAGTATCACTGCTTAATTACCAAGAAAACAATGTTCTTCCCTTTCGAAAGCCTCACTCATAACAAGCTGTCATCAGAAAGACAGGGTCTGCCCCAGGAAGAATTCCAACTCAGGGACATTACAAAGATAATTTGCTTATTCTGGATTCATTTGTTTTTTGAGATTGGGCTCTGGTTTGAGGGAACACAAAGCTCAGCTCCTGCAATCTGAAGCTCAGATTAACACCAATAACCAGAGGGTACATCTCCAGTGGCTTTTGCTTCTTGAACTCAGAAATACAATGATAAGAAGGCTTGTCCACCCGCCTCCCTCATGTCCTACTGGGAGAATTTATAGTGAGTAATCTTTTTTTTTTTTTAAATTTAAATTCAATTAGCCAACATACAGTACATCATTAATAGCGAGAAATCTAATATTAAAACCGCATCCTGAGTGGTCAGTTGATGCTGGTGATAACTGTGCCACCGTGGCCATCACTAGGGGGATCCAGAGTCCCTGTGCTCAGCCGAGGTGGGAGAAGTTTCTGGTCTGCGAGGAAATGACAGCGCTCCCCGTTTGGATTGTTTCCTCCCCTCTCTCCTCCCCTTCCTTCTCCTCGCTCTTATTCCTCCTCCCTACACACAATCATTGCCTCAGGGGTACATGGGAAAGTCAGGCTCAAGGCACAGATAGCCCCGTTCACACGAGCAGCTCTTAGTATTCCACAGGGAATTATTTTGTTATTCTTTAAAGCCGTTTCAAATTAGGTCCATGTTCCTTTTGTTTTATGGAAAGAAGCACATGCCAAATCACTGAGCTCCATACGAAGACTTTTACTCACATTTTCACTGTTTGCTGCATTTAAAAAAACCTAGCACAAAAGTTTCCACCACTCTAAGAGAAGTTAGTTAGAGGTTATGACTTCGCCTGTTGGGTACCGGGAAGTAGAAACAGGGGACCAACGACTTTCAAGGGATGACCAAGATCAGGTTATGGGTTGAAGAAGAATCCGGGGCAGGGCTGTTGGCCGTGCATTTTCAGATTATATAGATGAACCCTGAGGTTGCAGACTTCAAAGCACAGAAGGGCAGCTTGCTTATCTAAAGAGGATTTTAAGTCTAATACTGATAACTCCAAAGAACAGGAAAGAAAATAATGAATTTGGGTTCCAGTTTATACTTTTCCTGTGGGGCACTGTTCTTAGCTTAAGTCAGAATGTAGGGATCTATTTTGTGGAATGTTACCAATGAATATGGGCAGAACCTGCTTTGCTCTTGGGATGTAGAAGATGTGTAAAGTTCAGATACGAGTGGAGACATCAATAAAAACAGACCATTTCTCTATTTTGAGGACAGATCATTTTCCTGAGAACACGCCAATGATCAGCCATTAACAGCAGAAGGGTCAATAGGATTGTGATGAACGGATCTTCAATTTTTTTCCTTTCCTGCTCGAATTATTTACTGGGTCCACAATGTTATGTCAGCTGGGGGTTCAGCAGGTAGAGTATGTGGAAAGACACCTTGCCTGCACTTGATATAAAAGAAGAGCCAGTGCTTCAGGTCTTGCAAATGGCTTCCAAAGAAGGGGTGAAATTGCATTTTTATTAAAGCAATTTGTCAGGCTTCCTTTGAAAGGCTTAACTTTTTCCTCCTGGCTTGCCAATAAATAACCTCAAGTATTTAAATTAACCAATGTTTTAGAGCAACTTAAAAAGTGCTTTGGAGACAGATAAGATTTTAATTTAAGGAAATATTTGGAAATTTAAAATATAGTAAGTGGTGCTTTCGAAAAATTGTTTATTGGTTTATTTTCCAAAGACTTTTAAAAAGTTAAATGGTTAGGCTTCTTGGAGGGTACACCAGGGTTATAGGACACATAAGCATATTATTTCATGAAACAAGGGGTGAAGTCAATTGTGAGTGAAGCTCAATTTTCATATTTTATCATAAATAAGTATGTCAGGTCCAGCTTAAAATGAGCATTGATCCCACAGATAACCCAGGATGGAGCACGCCTTACCTGTAGCTTCCACCATTCCTTCTAGGATGACCACAATTTCCAGTTCCTCTTTGGGCAGCTGGGCTTTGGAGATCTCCCAGAAAGGACTCTGTTGGTTAATTTCGTGGCTGATGATGAGTGGTGATACCAGAAACAGGCGGTCATCACCGGTGTAATACCCTACATTGATATCTGTTTGGTTCAAGGGGATGAACTCACCCTCTGAGGTCTGTTTGGACTTGATCAACTTGGCTCGGATGGAAGCCTCAACGATGTGGGAATTCCTGAGATCCCCTACTCGGAACATCAGGCACAGTTTCCCATCCCTCATGGAGATCACCGCATGGGTGGAAAAAACCAGGGTCTCTGCCCTCTTCTTGGGTTGCGATATTTTTACAAACATGCATCCCACCATGAATGCATTGACAATGGACCCCAGCACAGATTGGATTAAGAGGAGAATAATTCCCTCTGGGCACTTGTCCGTGATGACCCGGTAGCCATAACCGATGGTGGTTTCTGTCTCTATCGAGAATAAAAAAGCAGAGACGAACCCGTTAAGGTTGGTGACACAGGGAGTCCATGAAGGGTCCTCTATGTGGTCCATATCTCCTCGGATGTATGCGATTAGCCACCAGATCATCCCAAAAAAGAGCCATGTCACTGTGTAAACCATGACAAAAATCAATAGGTTGAATCTCCACTTGAGATCTACTAAGGTGGTGAAGATATCCGTCAGGTAGCGGTAGGTCTCCCTCACATTGCCGTGATGGACGTTGCATTTTCCATCTTTCCGCACGTACCTCTGGATTTTCCTTTTGGTCCGGTCTCGGCTTATGTGTCTTGGCAGGTCGTCCCTGGCCTGCTTAGGCAACTTTGGCTGGTGAATGGCCACAGGGCTCTCAACATCCTGATCCATGGAGTCGCCCTCCAGGACGTTAGCTGGTGATTTGGAGGAAAGAAAAGAAAAATGGAATGAAATGCTGGTTCTTTTGGGATCATGGAAACCACACTTTATATGGTGTATGGTAGTGAAACCAAATAGCATTTGTGTAGCTTTTAACAGAATAGATGAAGCCATTTTTATTTGGCATCTCTGGACAGGTCTTTAGTTGACTTGGACTCTTGTGCCTTATAATCTAGCTCCTGTGAATACTTCCCCACCCTTCCCACCAGGACAGAGTTTACTGCTGTGAAACTGTCTCCCTCCAGCAAGTTCTAAGAGTCAGACCCTACATGGGATGTCTTCCCATTCCATCTGTGATGCCATCACATGGAGAGGCAGCACAGCCTGGATAAAGAAATGTTTCAATTCAGACAGTCTTGGTTCTGCCACTTAGCAGCTGTGGGCCCTTGGACATGCTATCTGTTATGGGCTGAATTGTGCTCCCCCCCCGCCCCAATCTGTGTTGAAGACTTAACCCCCAACGTGATTGTATTTGGAGATAGGGCCTTTAAGGAAATAACTGACATTAAGCGTGGAGCCCTCATAGAACAGGTGTCCTTATAAGAAGAGGGAGAGACACCTGGGTGTGCACCAGGGAGGGCTGTGTAAAGACAGTTAGAAGGTGGCCATCTGCAAACCAGGAAGAGAGGTCTTCCAACCGAAGCAAGGTGGCCAGAAAGGAATCCTGCCAGCTTCTTAATCTTAAACCTCCAGCCCCACCCCCCACTTTGGCATTCTGTTACGTCAGCTTGAGTAGACTTATACACTATCTGAATTCATTGAGCCTGAGTTTCCACATTTACAAAATGGTGATCATGATACCCAGTTTATAGGGTTTTTATAAAGTTGAATGAAACCATGTATGTGCTATGTGCTTGCATGGAACAGACATATAATAAATATTCCTTTGTCTTTTTTTTTTTTTTTTAAAGATTTTATTTATTTATTTGAGAGAGAGAGAATGAGAGACAGAGAGCATGAGAGGGAGGAGGGTCAGAGGGAGAAGCAGACTCCCTGCCGAGCAGGGAGCCCGATGCGGGACTCGATCCAGGGACTCCAGGATCATGACCTGAGCCGAAGGCAGTCGCTTAACCAACTGAGCCACCCAGGCGCCCCGTGTCTCAAATTTCAGAGCCGGAAAATAAAATTTCCGGTTTTTGTTGGTAAGTATGCACGCATTATACTCTAATGGTTGATTTAATGCCAAGGTTAAAAAAAAAAAAAGGTGTGGGGGAAATGTTCTCTCTCTTTCTGTGTGTTACACATTTTATTTGGTTTCTGCCTCAACATGTAACATCTGCAGTTTTGGCTCGTGGTTGTTTCCTTTCTGACGGCCTTCATGACTCATGCATTGGTACAGTTGTTAGCTAACAGTGCATTAGGAAAACTCTTCTAGAATCTGAGTGCAAAGGGAAATTTGGAAATGATACTGCTAGTAAACACATTAGCCACTGTATGAAGCTACTTGTTCAGTCAATAATTTTAAAGCTTCCCAGAAGTTTTAGAAGCTGTTTCTTTCCCTAGGCTTTCGTCCTGAGTCTTTGGCTGTACCATGCATTTTCTCTGTGGTAACTACGTGTTCCCCTGGGTTAAAGGAGAAACACAGTCTGTTGAAAAAACATTTACCTGAATAAGAAGATAGTTGCAAAGAGGACCTGAGTGGTACCAACTTCACTTACAGATTAACCTTGTTCGTGGTTGGTTAGTTTCCTTAAAGATCAATCCCATAGATTGATTTTTTTTTCATTTCATGTTTCAGCACAAGGAAGAGACAACACTTGTTCTGCAGAACCTGCTGTTGGGTTTGACAACCTTGACTTTGAGATCACTGCCCTCAATAGCCTTCATTTGTAGAAGAGGAACTCTGCTTGTTCTTTTTCTTCTTCCAACAAAGAGACGAGGATAGGAGTCAAAGGGAAGCGGCTGAGGTCAGGACGGGAAGGAGGTGGGTGGGGCATCTGGACGGAAGCAGAAGCCAGTGCCCCTGCGAGGTGGGGATGGATGTGTGTGGCCCGGAGTGGTCATGCCTGAGCTCGTACTACTGATTTTGCCCTGGTTGGGAGTCTCTAAATCTGACTTCATGTGGGATGAACTCTGGGCTCAAACCCACCACGGTGGGGAGGCTTTGTTTGCAGGACACAAGGGCCCAGGTGGACCCAGTGAATGGTTTTGCCTTGACTCGGGTGGTAAGCTCTCCTGCTGTACAGAGCCACCTGAGCCCTGTGTCCCCAAGTCCTTCAGTCTTTCCAACCCAAAGAAGAGGGCTTGTCAGATTAGCCGACTCTTAACAGTCTTCAGTGATATTTCATACTTTAAAATGTCAAAGAGGAAACATACAACCCTCCTCCTGCCCCCCTCCCCCCACCCCCAATTTGAAGCTGTTTTCCTGCTTTTTTTCTGGCTGGGCCATAACTTTCAAATCCAGGCATTTATCCTGACCTGGAGCGTCCTGTCTGAACGGTTAATGAGTGAGTAGAGAAAAGTGCTCTGGGTAGTCCTGGGAACCTGCCAGTTGATCCTCCAAATTATTTTTTTGTTGTTGTTGTTTTCCTCTTTTTCTAGCTCAGGACTGGGCCACATTTCCAAGTTTCCTTTGCATTGAGGGGCGGCCGGGGCAGAGTCCTGGCCTGTCTGGAGCTGGTGTGTCTTGCTGGGCCAAGGCCTTAAATAGAGGATGTGCCCCCTTCTACACCCCTGCCCCTTCTATGGAAGATGGTGGAGTCAGAAGGTGGTGGAGAGGCCCGGGTCCCGAGTCAGTGGCAAAGAGCTGCCATCTGACTAGAAACAAGAAAGAAAAAGATCATGTTTTAGCCATTATGTATTTTGTGTCTATTATCAAACACAGCCTTATCTCTCGTTTTATGGGCAGCCATACTGACATGGAGAAGGAAGCGTCATTGGAGGGACCGGCGTGGGAAAGAGCAGGGAGAGAAGACGGACTGTTTGAGGATCGCGTCTACGATGAACTAGCATGTGGTTAATCGAATGCCTGGGGTTTGGTGTTGGGGAAAATGTAAATGCATATGGTACTTAAGTGCCTTTTAAAAACAGATAAAAATGGAATCAAACAAAGAAAGCCCAACCTCCTGGGGAGTGAGGTGGGTAGGTGGCCTCTAAGGGTATCCCTGTAGAAGGGGCAGTGGCTACAGGCAAGGTGCATCCATGGGAAGATGGGGAGGGGGGTCAGGATACGTCACCCCCCAATCATGCCACTTTGGCATATTGATTATTTTGAAGTAAAGGTACTTACAAAAGAGCTAGTGCAAGAAGGCCCCCAGCCCCCCTGTTCTGAAAGCAGGAGATAAAGCTCCCATGTGATAGGTGCCCTTCCTGTACCAAGAGGATGGAAGACACTCTCACCACCAGAGACAGGGAACTGGGGGCTGAGAAGGCTGTGTGGATAAACCTTGTTAAACTAACCCACATCTTCCCCGTCACTTCGTCACTGACTTTTTATTACCCATGGCCCAAACTCCCTTGTCTTGCCAATTCTTCACACATTGTCTCTTTGAACCGTGCCACAGCTTCCTGCTCTGGTCACCTGTTCTGTCTGTACTCTTCAGTTAGGCTCCCATGTGCAGGTGTGTGCTTTTCTCCTGTGATTCCATGTTGGTTTAATTCTTAGGTCCAGCCAGAGATGGAAAGAGGAGAAAGGAGAATGTTGCCTCTGGGCAGTGGGAGGTAAGGCTGGGCCTCTTGCGTAACAGGGGCCCCGGGTAGGGGCAGGCACAAGATTGAGAGAAACCACAAAGCCAGTGACATGTGAAAGGACGTAGGGAGTAGAAGACACTGGAGGAGGAGTCCCAAGGGGCAGGAAGGGTGAGGCCAAGGAGGACGGGGGTGTGGAGTGCGCAGAAGGGGGCCCGAGCCTCCAGGCTGTGTCCGGAGCACTCGCGGGGAGCCTTGCATGCGGGAGAGAGGGGCCTCCCAGGCCTGAGCAGTGAGCGAGGCTCAGCACCCCTCAGCAGGAATGCAAATGTGTGTAAGGGAAATACAGAAGGGAACTTTAATGATGGTTCTTAACGTTCCTTTCGTGCCTGGAATCCCAGGCGTGGATTTGAGAGGAGATCTGAACTGCATTTGCAAGAGCATTCTGAGCTGCTCAGCAGCTGCACTCGGGAAAGCGGACATGTCTCCCTGGGATCCCGCGCAGCCTTCGACACTACGGACTTCTCGCCCCCTCCGCGACTCAGAAAATGGCCGCAGGCCACCCCCCCACCCCGCCCCTCCCCAGGCCACGCATGCGCAGCGGTCACATGGTCAGACCCACCCTCCACACGTGCTGCTCCTTGTGCTTGGTCATGCGGGTGGCTTGAGCAGAGGGGATGCAGAGGAACTCCCTGCTGCCTTTGGAGTGCTGGACGATGGGCAAGAGGACGGTAGGAGCAACGCCGAGCATCCCGATGATTTCCTTCATGAGTTGCTTTACGGGATTTTGGCTTAAAGTAAATGTGGGTCTTAAAGTAAATGTGATAAAGCCAGCTGTTTCTTATCCCTCTCTCTTTCTCTTTTTTCCCCTCTCTCTTTTAGAAAGGTGATCAGTTGACATGAAACAAGCTAAGGTGTAAAACAGCCTAGTGTTGAAATTTAACGTGAAAGAAATAATAGCAAGTGACAGAGGCACAAGCTGGGAGGGGCCTGATCCCTGAGTCACTGGGATCCTGTTGTCGAATTTTAGGTGCAGCGCTCATCCAGGGAAGACTGCGGGGGTGCTCTGGCCAGTATAAATGTTCTCCTGATGGGAATTTGTTACATTTCAAATTATATATGAGTTCTCTGGGTGATGCTTCCACTGACTAGGGGAAACGTTCGAAAAGTACTTTAAGAATTTTTAACGCCTTTCAGAAAACCAATAGGAAAGCAGGAGAGCTCTCAAACGCATGTGCAAAAATCAAAAGTTGGAAGGACATGCCCACAGATGTTAACAGGGTAACTCTGAGCGGGTAGCTTATGGGTGCTTTAAAATTTTCTTTTAAATATTCTGGTTCTTCCAAATTTTCTAGAATGAGTTTATATCGCTTTTATAATAAAAAAGAAAAGGAATTTTCAAACAAAACATTGAGACACTGCTAGTTGTGTGATTTAAGGAATTTGAGAAAATCGTAACTAAACCCCCACTGTTGGGGTTTGAAATGAAAACTTTATGTTAGGTGAAATAAGTCAGATATGAAAGAACAAATATTGTATGATTCCATTTATAGGAGGTACCTAGGAGAGACAAATGCATGGAGACAGAAAGTAGAATAGAGGTTACCAGGGGTCAGGGGGAGAGAATGGGGAGTCATTTGTTTGTGATGATAAAAAAATTCTGGAAATGGATAGTGGTCCCAGTTGCACAACACTGTGAGTGTACTTAAATGCGTTGAATTGTACACTTAAAAGTGTTTAAAATGGTAAATTTTATGTTACATATGTTTTACCAAAACTTAAAAAAATTACCTACTCAAATAGTTCATGTGTTATTGAGAGTCCCTAGATGGTCTATCAGATCTGGCTCACTTTTATTTTACTCTACTTTCTTTTTTACTCCCTTGAATCAAAAGAATGTGGTAAATTTGCTTCAGCACTCTTGGTTAGAGGAGGCAATTTAAAATGCAGGGCATCATGCCATGTGAGGTCTACTACTGAGCTCTAAAAAAACCTCATTGGGAAGGAATTTCTCTGGTCAGAAGTAAGCAACAAATTAAAATATGATGTGAAAACAGAGACAAGGGAAAGGGGCACTGGGAAGATATCAGCAAGCTCAAACCTAAATCTATCTTGGGTGGAGAGCAGGATGGGTTTGCTCAAGGAACTGGCGAGTGTGTGTTTGCTTCCTGACAGACAAAAGCTGGGATGGTGGGGCATTTGAAAAGCAGGAACAGCATGTGTGAAAGGCTTGAAGGGATGAAGCAGCTTTCTTTGGGAATGGCAGAGATCCTGGAATAAAGCATGTGTGGGGGAAATGGAGGGAGCTAGGAGAGCAGTGGATGAGAGCCAGGCTGGACCCCGAAGTCTTCTGTACTAGGCTATGGAGATTGGTCTTAAAATGGGGAGTGATACGATTGAATATTTTATGTATTTTAGAAAGACCCCTCTGGAGGGTGGTCACGTGGAGTATAGATTAGAGGGAAGTGTTGGCAAACTTTTTCTGTAAAGGGCCAATAGTAAATAGTTTAGTCTTTGTAGGCAACATAAGTGTCTGTTGCATATTCTTCTTTGTTTTTTAAAGAACTTCTTATGACCCTTAAAAAATGTAACACTAGGGGCGCCTGGGTGGCTCAGTTGGTTAAGCGACTGCCTTCGGCTCAGGTCATGATCCCAGGGTCCTGGGATCGAGTCTCGCATCGGGCTCCCGGCTCAGCAGGAAGCCTGCTTCTCCCTCTCCCACTCCCCCTGCTTGTGTTCCTGCTCTCACTGTCTCTGTCTCTTTCAAATAAATAAATAAAATCTTAAAAAAAAAAAAAATGTAACACTAATCCTAACTCATGAGCAGTACAAAAAGAGGCCACAGGCTGGATTTGCTGAATTCTGGATACAGGGTGCCAGCAAGACGGAGAAACAGCAGGGTGCTGGATTAAGGGAGCAGTCATGAGGATGAAGAGGTGGCAATGGATTTAGGGTTGAATAAGAAGCAGAATTAACATCATTTGGAGATTAGCAACAGCGGAGGGGCGTGGGCAGGAATTATCTGGGGAGTGGCAGGACGGTCCTGGAGGCATGAGGTTAGAGGGTGATGCCGGTTTGGGCTGGTTCGGTTGAGAGGTGGGCACTTTTGTGGGAAATCAGGTGTGTGGGGCTGAAGCTTGAAAAAGCTTAAAAAAATTTGAAAACTTTTGCCTGGTCTTTGATTTTGCTGAGTTCAGTTATTTGCATTGTTAGATGTTGATTTAATTCAGTGGGTCTGCTGAAGTATGGTTTTCTTGAAATTCACACTGGAAAAGGAGCCAAACTGAAGCTCCTTCACCACAAAAAGCCTACAAGAGATGTCTCCAATACCCCCTTCCCATCTTTTCCTCCTCCTCCCACCCTGGGCTCCAGGTTTGGAAGTTTATCGGTGCACGCAAGGGGTAGCTGCAATTGTGGGTATGGATAGAAGCTCCTGGGGGGACTGTGCAGAGTGAGAAGAGAATATAGAAGAGAGGATCCTGGAAACTAATTACATTAAGAAGTCAGAAGTAGAGGAGCAGCCAGAGGAGGGGCAGAGGAAGGGATAAGAGGTGTGAGGGGCAGGAGGAGAGAGCAGGGCAGGAAGCCAAGTGGGACTCCAGCCCAGGGTTCAGAAAAAGGGGGCATTATTCGGCACGCACTGTTGGGGACAACTATAAGCCCGCTTGGAAGAATAGTGATGAGTCCCTTCCTTATTTCTTATATCAGAATAAATTCCAAGTGGATTAAGGATTTAAATGCCAAGAAAAAAAAAAAAAAGAAACGCTACAGAAGGCGTAGAAGATGTATTTTTGTAATTTTAAGAGTTGAGAAAGCCTTTCTAACCATGATAGGAATCCAGAAACTATTTTCAAAGACTGGTATTTTTGTCAGTACAAAAATTTTAAATGTTTGTTAAAAAAGTAAGAAGACAAACCAGGAAAAATATTTGCAACACATAACATATTTATTCCCAATTTACAAAAGCAATAAATACCTCCACGGGGGGGAAAAAAAGATCATAGGAAATGAATAAGGAGTTTATAAGAGAAGAAATGCACAGAGCTAAAAAGCATATGGAAAGACTGTTCAAGTAAAAGCAATGCAAATATAATAACATTTTTTACTCTAAAGTTGGCGCAATTAGAAATGAAAGGCAAATATAGTATGTGGAGTGTGTGTGTTGGGAAAGGCAGTGGAATTGTGAACGTGCATGTTTTATGGGCGGTGTAACTGACAAGGTCTTCCTGGAGGCCTCACAATTTAGGAGTGATTAGATGCTTTGGATCAGCAATTCAGGGTCTAGACATTTATTCTTAGGAAACAATGATGCAAACATCCATCAATTGTATGCAGGGGATATATTGCAGCCTCTCTTATAATAGTGAAAAATTAGAAACAACCTAAATGTCTGTCCATAAGCACTGGTTAAACAT